TTAAATAATAAACTTCGGGTCACGCCCGTTAATACTTAGCAACCTTGTGCGTGTAAATTCTTTAACAATAACACGTATCAAAATAGAAAAACCTGAATTTGTCTCTTTAATTTTTGTTATGTTTAATATTATTAGTTATGGTTGTTCAACCAACAAAGATAATAATAATGTTATATTTATTTTAAAAATTAATTTTTGTCATAAAATCTATATAATTACTATTTATAGCAAAAACTATGCGGAACTCTCAAAAATTTGATAATACTAAATTTTTTTGTTTTTAAACTTTTACCAGAAGCACAGCAAACACTGGAGCAGCCATAATAGTTAGAGCCTCACTACTGATCTATCCACTCCCACAATACCAAACAGATCTTATACAAGCTTCTGGTATTTCCATAACTCTAAACAACATCCCCACACACATCAATGCAGTATATTGTCTCCCGCGTCATGTCATCAGTATAGCTTAATTTAGTAACTTTTTCCTTACACTTGGACAAAAAATCATATAGGAGATGGCATCAATACAAAAAACACAAACTGGGGCTTTCGTACGAACAATCCTCGGGAAAACACTCAATCTCTTTACTCAATCAAAATTCATACTCCTTCTTCATCTATTACCTCACCTAAGAAAATACTCGATATTCTTGATTTTATTGTGTCTAAAATACCTAATAGTCTACATATCCTAACAACTAATTTTAATGCTCTGTGCTCTGAACACTCATCCGTTCGTCCGATGCTGTTCCCTCAAATAAACCAAAACAACCCAGCCTTATACAAGATCGAATAGACTAGAGCAAATTCAGATATACCCTTGAAAACCAAACCAATCTGAAACTTTGCTTAAAATCCTCCGACGAGGTAGAAGAAACTGTAAATCTTCTAACTAATTCTATACAAAAAACAGCTTAGTCGTGTTTCGCCCCTACCCGTCCTACAAATCACATTGGATATCTTCCTTTATATATTAGAATCCATATCTCCGAAAAATAAAGAGACCGTGCCACCTGACAAAAATCCATATATCGTTCTGATCAACGAAAATTTAACAATCAAACTGAAAAGAGTTCTAGTCTCAGTCAGATCTAATAACTTCACCAAACACATCATTTCCTTATAAGCAATTGATAATTCACTTTGCAAACTACAAGGAAAATCCTTTGATTCCAACCACTTGTAATATCTCTGAAAAAAACTGACGGTACTTTGGCCATAAATGATCTAGATAAAGCCAACTTATAGTCTCACCACTTAACTTCTACCTTTCAACCACTCTATAATATCCTATGCTCTACCTAAATTGAAAAGGTAAACCGTTTTATTTCCTGCTCTTTACCAATACAAAAATCTGTTAAAAGAAAAACTCCAGGCTATGATCTAATTACAGCAGAAGTGTCAACTCAACTGAAAAAATAACTACTCCCCCTGACATACACATATAACTCTATGATTAGGCTCTCATACTTCCCGATTCTATAGAAATGTTCAGCGATCATCATGGTTCTCAAGCCAGGAAAACTCCTGGACTTTCCTGAAAATTATGAGCTCATCAATCATCTTCCCTTATTCACCAAGATTTGAAAAACATATTTCAAAACGTATACTCTCTGCCATTGAATCCAACCTCCCAAACACACAATTTGGTTTTCGTCACAACCATTACACTATTCTCCAAGTACACCACTAAGTCAACTAAATTTCATACACACTAGAAAAAAAGAAGTATGCACGGGCGCATTTTTGAACATGGCACACTTTTTTGACAAAGTGGGGCTCGATGATCACCTATTTCTGTATTCATATTCAGTATGCTCTAATATATATCTATTATGTAGTTATATGATTTTGTCCGATAACACTTAATTTGCTAAAATAATACTATTTGAAAAAATCTCACCAAAGACACAATGTAAAAATAGATTACTATAATAAATAATGCTTTAAATAGATGTTGAAGATCAATGCGTCGATTGTAAAAGAAGCATGATTCCAGTAAAAGCATTGTATGAATGTCAACATATGTATTGTACAGATTGTTCAATGGTACAAAGACAAAACGCTTATACATGTGAAATTAATCAGTGTAAAATAGAAGACTGTAAATCGAAATTACCCAAAGGTATTTAATATATATTTTACTTATTAATAATTAAATACAATATTCTAAACTATTTATTGCAACAAAATCTTAAATTAACATTTAATAGAAGTGTTGTGAATATTACATTGCCAATATTATGAATGTGATAAAAATAATATTTTGTTTTATCTTATCCAGATTACTTTTTAAATGGTTATGTAAACGTCATCTAGCAAAGATATTTCTTTATCTAGTAAAGAAATATCCAAATTAGTTTGTGATAACTCTGTTAAAAATTTATCTTTCTTTCTTCGATATAAATTGAACTTAATAAACAAGATCTTCTCTGATATCTTTTTACATAAGTTAAAAAAAACTCTAAAAATACTATCTATGATGAATTCTTCGACAAATTCAACAAACTGTTATCGTATCTTTATTCTATTTTATTACTTTTTGATGATTTCAAACTTCCTAATTCAAATAACTTTATTTTTAATATGAACTTAAAACCTTCCTCTACTCAATCTACTTTCATCTTCGGCCACCATTCTCCTAAACTTTCACTTGACACGATCTCCCATATCATCTATGTTCACATCAGCTGTCCTCATATCGTATTTAATAGCGATATTCTCTTTTTTAATATTCCTCTACTGCTTCTTCCATCAACATTCATTTCTATAACTGTTCTTACAACTTCCGATTCTTCTCTTTTCATAACATGATCAAATCATCAAGTCAATTTTCTCTCATCTTATCCACGATTGACGCTACACCTATACTCCCTCTTATGTGCACGTTCCTTATTCTCATCTCTGCTACACTCATTCTCTGCTCTACTTTCTTATCAACTGCCCAACACTCTGAACCATACACTATAGCTGGCCTTAATACAGTCTTGAAGAATTTACCTTTCAGCCTCATTGGAATTCTTTTATCGCATTTGACGCCAGACGCTTCTCTCCACTTCAACCACTCGCACTTAATACTATGTCTTACATCCTCATCAGTAGAACCTCTCTTTTGAACAACTGATCCTAAATACTTAAAACTCTCCACCTCTCCAATCACGTCATCGCCTATTGTCACTGATCTCCTCATTCCACCTACCTCGTGTTCTCTTTTGTCAAACTCGCACTCTATATACTCTGTCTTACTTCTACTTATTCTTAAACTCTTTTCTTCAAGAGCTGATTTCCATACCTCTAGCCTTTGATTAATTTCCTCCTAATTTTCTCCTATTAAAGGCACCTCTCCTTATATTTCTCTGTAATTTCATCCATCACTTTAGAGAATAAGTAAGGGCTTAAAGCAGAACCTTGGTGCACTCCAACTCTTACCCGAAAACTTTCTCATACTCTTCCTACGCTTTTTACCCTGGTACAAGTGCCATCGTACATAACTTCTATTATATTAATGTACCATTTCGGGACTACTTTTCTCATTAATGCCCACTTTAAAAACTCTTACGGTACTCTATCATACGCATTCTTCAAATCTATAAATACCATACACAGCTTTTACTTATAACCCTTTCTTTTCGTTATTTTTTTGATATTAGTTGGTATTTACATTTTATCATAATATTAATAGATTATAGAATATAATATTAAGTAAAAAAAGCATAAACAGAAAATAAATTACTTTTATTGATTCTCATATAAAATAAATAATTGTAGAAAATTATCAATTATATTTAATTTTTAAATTTTAGTAAAAATGTTATATTTGAATAAATACATATAAATACGATACGTATTCTTTTTAGTGGTAGGTATAAATTGGGCTCAATCTACTTTTATAAAAATTTTAATTTCTTTAAACTTCTTCCAAATTAAAACAAACATAAATAATAAAAGTACAATGCATGATTCTTTTTTCATCTAATTCTATTTATCTTGTTACTCTTTGGTTCCCATTGATTTGTACCATGCACAATCAAATGCGCTATGTAATTTAAATAATTCATCATACCATTTAACTTATTCTAAAATATTGTTTATTGGTTAATAGACAATTATTTTATTATATTATCAAATTTGAAATCTTTCATCTGGAATGAGTAATTTAATTCGCACAATATTATGTCAGATCTTGTTAATAAATTCTGCAATATCTTATTTCACTCTATTGAATCTATCAATCCTAATAAACACTTTTCCAATTCAAATTATATAATATTAACCAATTTAATGACTTTTAAACATCATGTTCTGAATTGTTTTCTATTGATTAATAAATAAATATATTTGTATAAAATATAATAAATAAATATATTTAAATAATAAATATTTGACAGAACAAAACTCATCAATTATTTTTAAATTTAAAATATAAACTGTCCGATCTTATTTTGTCTTGATTATCGTAATTTTTAGTAAATAGGATGCAGTTCAATTTTAGTTGTTATAGAGGTAGGTAAGAACTGTCTATGAGCTCAAAACTGTATATCCACTGTGCATACTTTCTACCACTAATCGCAGGTGGGTTTAGCTCGTACTAACGTACTTATATTCGGACCGTGTTTCACATTGATTCTATGTATTAAAAATCTTGAAACTCAATGAGTACTATTTCTGTAATTGTTATCTACCCATCATAATATGTTGAAATAAATAAACAATAAGATTTTTTTTCTTATAAGTGATAAATAATAAAAAATATGTTTTGAATGTTTATAAGAGGACAATAATTAATTTAAAAAAATTTAAACGAATTGATAATAGGATCAAAAGTTATTGGATTTGTGATAGCTTCGTTAATCACCCTATAGGTCGTCCTGCTAGGCCACTCCTATATATGTTAATTGCACCCTGTCTCCGCGGGGAAATTATATATCTCTTAGGGTTCTAGATTTATAATATATCCTTATGTGGTCAAATATTTCCCAAATTAACTGCATATTATTATTTTGAACTTAAATGCATTTTTATATGATAATTAATTTTCAATTGTTTTTGTTGCAAAAATTTTATATTCCTACCTAATTATTTTTATGTTGCTTTCGTTTAATTATACCTTTATTATTGTAAAATAACAAATATTTTATACTGTTACATAGATAAACTAAATAAGTTTTGTAATATACAGTTATAGTTGGATCGATAATAGTATATCTATACTTTTAATAAACAATTATTTTTACAGTGCTTGACAAATTTAGTAACAAGCTGGTTTTTACTTTATTATTAACTAAAACAAAGGACATTGATTAATCTGACTATTTGTAAAACAGTTTAGTTCAAGATTTAGTCCCTTAAACAAATACCTTTTAATCGTGGTTCTTAAAAATTCGTTTGGTATACCTCTCAGTTAGTGTCCTAGCAATTAACTACTGGTCCCATTATTGAGATGCAGATTGATTTGCGTGAATTTTATATATTATCATATTGACTGACGTTAAGTTATTAGGATTAAGTTTAAGACTTTTGATACTTTCAGTAACTGACCTCATCAGCTTGTCTTGCGACTACTTGCTTGTATCTACTGACATAAACTCGTTGTTTAGTAAACGTCCATTTTTTCACATTGATGTTTTCAATTTCGACGATTCTTCTGCGAAGAGCCGTTCACGTTCTTATACCAAAAGGTTGTCCATATGATCCTTGAATGTCACAAGATCGTTGTGTTGTGGAATTTCAATGTTGTTATCCATATAGTGGTCCATAAAGATACGTCACAGCAGATCTTTAAACTGTGATAAGACAGAATACACCAAGGTGCACTTAATACCATAAAGTATTCCAATGGTCACTTTGTTTTTGGCTAATTACCCTGTGATAATTTAACTTCTTATTCACTTGATACATCTTGGTTAGAGGAATAAGATACAGTTTGTTAAAAATTATAATTTTATTTCTAATTATAATTCTGTATTATCTAGCTTTCCTAAGGAAGATAATTTATCTCCGTTTATTTTTAATATTTTTATTAATAATAATAGTTCCTTTATAAAATATTGAATAATAAAGTAAATTATTTTTTTATTGGGTTTTATTTCATTTAAAACTTAAAAGCGTGTTATAAAAATTCTTTTTTTCTTTTTTTCAAAAAAATGTTTATCATATTGCCATTTGAAAATTTTTGCATTTTATTGAGAGCTCTCATTCAATAATAAATTTATGTAATATGTTTGTTATTAAAATAAATTATTTATCATGAATATATTGGTAAATTAATCATTACTTAAAGTTAATACTGCATATACATTCGAAAGGGAAATGCCTAAAATGTAATCAAATGAAGACAGTAGATACCTTGTTTCTTTGTCGACATAAACATTGCGAAGACTGTATACAATTTTTCATAAAATCAAAAATTTCTAAATGTCCAATAAAAGAATGTAACGCAGAAGTACTCATAGGTAATATTCTCTTTTAAATCTATTGATTTATAATTATTAGAATATTCTCAATTTAGTATTATAACAAAATATCAAATTAAATTTTAGTAGCAATAATGAGAATATGAGAATATAAAATAAGATTTTTATTGAGTTAATTATAATATTTCGTTTTATTTATTATCTAGAATAATTTTCGAATGGTTACGTAAAAGTCTTCTAGTATATACATTTTGTTGTCTAGATATTTTATTAATTTATGAATAAAAATTTATACAACAGTACTGAATAATTTATGTGAGCTATTAAAAAAAAATATCCCTATTACTTTTTTGATATAGCTACTGTATTTGAACATTGCTAATAAATTATAATGTCTATGAAATGTATATGCAAAAGAGTTATCGATAAGTAGCATTATTAAGAATACAAAATAAAAAATTCCAGCATAGCAAGGTCGCAACACAGTGGAGACAATTATATATGATATCTAACAGTGATTAAAATCACTATCACCATAAGGCTTTAATGTAATTTACAGATAGTGTTTAGTTTTCAAAAGGAGTTATTGAATCATTTTATAAGTAACAACTCATAATTTTTCATGATTTAGTTATATATATTTTTATGATATACAGGGTGATTTTTTTATCATAACCCACTCAATTACTTACAGAATAAAAATAATTAAAAAATATTTTTTTATTATTATCTTTAGTTACACATTATTCTTGAATTATTAACTATGTAATACTTTTTAAGTTCATCCCTTATGCCTGGTAAGGGTGTCAACTTTGTTTTTTTAAATGGAAACACATATTTTTAATTAAATAAAATGTTTGAGTTTTTAATTCAATAATAAATGGCATTTGAATGTTTAATGAAACTTAATTTGTTTATTAGATATAAACATTTAAAGTTTCAAATTTTTGAGTTCATATACATGTATAATACACAAGGGGTAACAAATACAGGTAGCTAATTGTTTTTTTATGATATTAGCAGGTACACAGCATTGTTATTCTCAATGATAGTAAGGTACATTGATGTGAGTTTATAAATACACTAACTGACAATACAAAAAGTATATCTATTGATAGTCACAATTGATAATAAACAATCCGTGATTGTGATAGCAATATCATAATAAACCAATTAGCTACCTGTATTTGTTACCCCTTGTGTATTATACATGTATATTAACTCAAAAATTTGAAACTTTGTTTATATGTTTGTTTATATATTTGTTTATGTTGAAAATGTTTATATCTAATAAACAAATTAAGTTTTATTAAAAATTCAAATGCCATTTATTATTGAATTAAAAACTCTAACATTTTATTAAATTAAAAATATGTGTTACCATTTAAAAAAACAAAGTTGACACCCTTACCAGGCATAAGAGATGAACTTAAAAAGTATTACATAGTTAATTATTCAAGAATAATGTGTAACTAAAGATAATAATAAAAAATTTTTTTTTAATTATTATTATTCTGTAAGTAATTGAGTGGGTTATGATAAAAAAATCACCTTGTATAAATGTAATAAATGAAACAATAAAAAGAAAGTTAACTATTTAATTTGATTATTCTTTCATTCATGAGTTAATTAATTTTCAATAAAAAAATTGAAAATGTAATTTATCAAATTGACACTAAAAGTTGCGAAAATTCTCCCTGAAAATATTTATAAATAATAATCCTATCTCTCAGCTTCACATCGAAGATGAGAATGTATTGGTTTTACTCTGATGTTTTTTTGTCTGTTCCGGAAACTCTGACACTTATATATATATATATATATATATATCTTAAATTAATGATTATGTAAAATACTTTATTATGATGGAAAAAATTTCGGATTTTAGTTTTTCTTAGCTCTTACTGAACCGATTTCTTTCAACGATACGTCAAAATATCACAAATGGTATCTAGTCAAAGACATTACTCTTAAAAATTGAAAAAATTTCCCTCATTTCCCATAATTAGGGGAAATCTCCTAAAAAATTACAAATTTAAAAATCGCTAATTTTAACATTTTTTTCGATTTTTTTTAGATAAAACTGCCATAACTTTTTTAAAAATAACAAAATCAATATATTTTTTTTTTATATAGATACATGATGTCCAAACCCAACCTTTTATTTAAGATATATCTTATAAATCTGACTTTTTACCTGCCCATAGAGGGGGTTATTATAACAAGTTTTTCAACTTTTGAATGTGTTCCTGAAAATCGGACACTTTTATATATATCTTAAATTAAATCTTAAGTAGTATACTTTATTTATAATATACTAAATAAAAGAATAAGATTTTTGTACAACATTTCTATTATATTAGCTTCGATGCAAATCTGAGAAGGTATTGGTTTTAATATGATTTTTTTTTTGTGTCTGTTACCACTTTTTCTTAGCTCTCACCGAACCGATTTTTTTCAACGATACGTCAAAACTTCAGAATTCGTATCTAGTCGAAGACATTACCCTCAAATTTGAAAAAATTTCCCTCATTCCCCGTAAATTGAGGAAACCTCCAAAAAAATAACAAATTGAACATTTTTTACTTTAAAATGCTATAACATTTTAAAAAATGTATGGATCAATACATCTTTAATTCGACATTATTTTTTTTTAAATCAGACCATTTTCCTATATACGGGGGGGTTCAAATCTAAAAAATGCATATAGAAAGTAAAACTTTTTCAACTTGAAAATGGCTACCAAATGCTATTTTTGTGTGAAAATTCTCGATTTTATTTTTTACATTTTTAACTTTATAATGCTATAACTTATTGAAAAGTGTATGGATCAACATAATTTTTTTATGAGAAATAATATTTTTTAATAAACCCTTTTTCATTCGACATACTTTATCTTAATCAAGATATTAATAAGGAACCAGCAGATCAAGTAGCTTTTGGAATAAAACACCAATTTTTTTAAAATTAAACACTATCTAAAGATTTGCATCGAAGCGTTTTTTTTTTATAGTGATTTTAATCACTGTCAGATATTAATACACTTGATCCAACTATATCACGTCACCACTGTGTCGCGACCCCCGTGTTCTGGGTTTTTTTTGTTTTCAATTATTTCTGAGTTAAATTCTGTAACATTTAAAACTGATCAAATTCTATATTTTGATAACTTTTATTTTATTTTATTATCACGTCCGGATATCTTTTTACTGAAATATCTTTATCTAGAAAATTTTGTATTTATATTACCTCAATACTGCTAAACACAAACCTTTCGTAAAATTAATTAAAAATATTTACAACGAAATTCTCATATATTGGTTCTCTTTTTATAAGTTTTGTTATAAAATATTAAGTTAATATTATTTAAGAATACATAATAAAATTCTTAAATATTAACCACCTTACACACATTTAAATTAGTTTTATTGTTTAGTAATTGTCAAAATTTTTTTTTATTTCATTATAGGAATGGAATTAAGTAAGTATAAATTGTTTAATACATTTTCAAATTGATCGTTCACCTAAATTTATTAGTTTATTAGTATTTTATTAATACATTCTTAATCCTTTGACGTATCGTCGAAATAGTTTTATTTCGAGTTGATTAATTTATATTTTATTTACAGGAAAATGTAATTACTGTCGTAAGGATATATTAAGAAAACATTATTATATAGGGTGTTATCATCCATTTTGCAATGAATGTAGTGCAAAATTTGAAAAGCATGAGATACCTTGTCTAACTTGTAAAGAGAAAGAAAGAGAGAGAAAGCGAAAAGAAAAGGAAATAGAAATGGAGAGAAAAATGAAAAATGAAATGCTTTCATACATTAATCATTTACGGAATAGGGAGAAAGTACATGATGATAATATATTTTCATATTATATATAGACTACAAATACAACACCTCATTAAAACAAAATTTTAAAAAAACAATGTCCTTAAATCCTTCAAAAAAATATAAAGTTTTGTAATTAAAATATTTTTATCTGTATGAACTGCTAATTGCAAAATGAATGTACATTTTCATTTAAGTTTTAAGTATAATTCATAATATATTGTAACCTATATTCATAGCAGATGAAAGTTTTAAATCAATAAATAAAATAAGTAAATAAAAATATATATTACAAAAATGTTTATCTTGTGTACAAGTCAGGTAATGCCTATCCTTTTCTTAATATCATAGACATCCTTGATCGCCATAGAAAATTTCGTTATTATAATACTCTTGATCTAGCAAATGGTTATTATCAAGTCTCTATGTTACCTGAGCATCGTTAAACCCCTCTTTTTCGACAGACAGAAGTCATTTTAAAATTCTTTGTATGTTTTGGTTTGAAAGGTGCCCCAGCACTTTTCAACATCCATGGAATGAAGTTTTAACTGGCATAAATAAGTTATAAGCTTTTGTTTACTTAGACGATATAATAATATAAACCAAAAATCTAGATTATCATTTTCAGAAAATCACAGAAATCTTTAATAGCTTGATGCAATATATTATGGCAATTTAAATATGTACGACGAACAATTCAAGTTATAAAAATCATTTTCATATAAAGGAATAATGTTACAAATTCGAAGATGAAAATCTACAAGTTTATAATTTTTGTTTTACCTACTTATTTTTTTTTATTGCACAAGATAATGTGTAATTGAATCTTTTTATGACACAGCTGTGTCAACAAGTCATTATTTTTGCCTCTGGACGCTAGATATGGCGTCAAAAGAGAATAAATATAATTAAAATCGTTTTGTTTATCGGTATTGATCCCTTCCAAAATGACTGGACTTTATCGATTTGAAATTGCCCCTAGATCGGTATTTACTCTTCATCTAGTTTCTGTTATTGACCGTACTAAAGAGCAAATGTTAGCTTCGATACGAAGCTGAGAAGGTATTAATTTTACCATGATGTGTTTATTTTTTTATTTTTTGTGTCTGTCACTACTTTTTCTCAGCTCTCACTGGACCGATTTCTTTTAACAATACGTCAAAAGATCACAAATCGTATCTAGTTGAAGACATTACCCTTAAAAATTGAACATTTTTCCCTCGTTCCCCGAAAATGGGGGAAATCTCCAAAAATATTACAAATTTAAAAATCGATAAATTTGTCATTTTTTTTCTTAAACTTCCATAACTTTTTCAAAAATAAACAAATCAACATAATTTTTTGTTTTAATAAAATCTTAGATACTTTTCTTTTATTTAATATCATTTTTTTGAAAATTTAACACTTAACCTGCTCACTGGGGGCGTTTGATAATGGCAACTTTTTTACAAAAACTAACTTTTTCAACTTAATTTTTGAAAATGTTCCGGAAATACTGCGTTCTTTAAACATATACAAAATGAAAGCTTATTTTATATACTCTAAAATGAAAAAAAAAAATTTGTCCCGACACTTTATCTTCTGCATGCAAACGGCTGCCGTAGTTAAAAAAACGCTATTGTTGTGTTAAAACTTTCGATTTTCGATTTTAAATTTTCAACTTAGAAATGCTATATCTTATCGAAAAATGTAAGTATCAGCACAATTTTTTTTTTTTCTAAATACATTATAAGTACATCTTTTATTTGACATACTTTTTATTAAAATTGGACAATTTCCCCTTATATAGGGGGCGTTCAAAACTTGAAACATTGTATAAAAAATAGAACTTTTGAAAGTGTTCCGGAAATACTGCGTCCTTTAAACATATATAAAATTAAAGCTTTTGTCATGTACTATAAAATTAAAAGAAAAATTTGCAAGCTCATGCATTGTGCTTTATCGTGCTCTCGTACTTCTACACACCGTAGATAGTTAATATGTATGCTCTTACAATATGAATACTCTATTATTCATAATTGTGCTCTCAAACAAAACCACATTGTTGATGTGATGAATGTAAATATTATCCTACAGTTTTAACGTACTGCTGTTCTATGCAGAGGATTCAATAAAATGGAGAATATCTGTCAGCTCGGATAACCAAGTCAATGTACAGCTCATTTGATTTATGAAGGAGGCAGATCAGCTATAACATCATTCAATACCCAAACACCAGAAAGAGTATTTGTTGTATACCTTGTATACCTTGTATAAGGCCACAACATCATTAAAATATATAAATTAATCATTTAAAGGTTATGTACTTTATTTTAGGTTGAGTATTATCGGTCCACGTGATCCTTATATAAGCTATTGACGCCAACCATTAATTTAGGAGTGTCATGGCGCAACATTTAGTAACTCAAATCTGTGAATGCATATTTTTAACCCTTAATAGTCTTGCTTCCAGTTGTTTTGCAATCGATTTTTTCATTAATACAATTTTTATCAGTTTATATGACTAAAAACCCTGACACTGTCCCAATTCAATCGCGTCAACTTTGTCAACCAGTGTCCTAGTTATGTGAAGAAATATGTGTTTGACTGATTATCACTAAGTTTGGAAATTAAGTTACAAAGTCCGATCAGAGTTTTCTCTCCGTCGTTGAGGTGACGATGATCATGATATACGCCACCGACCCCAGCCGTGCGATAGGTCCAGGGACATTGAATCAACATCGCATCAGCGTATCGTCGCCATTAACGCTGCTAACTATTAACATCCCATGATCATGCTAGACACCGCGACACCAACGCTAGCAACAGTGCCATGATTCTACTCGAGAAGTACTTATTTATTGTGTTCGTCTTTTCGGTTTTCAAATAATCTTTTTATTAATAATTAATGACAAACGGATCACAATCATCTTAACCAATATCGACTGCATTATTGCGATATAAGTCGTGTCAAGACTATTAAAAAACAGATTATATAAATAATTGGATTAAATAAAAATATTGACAATGACTACAATAACCGTCATTTATGCATATTTTTTAGTAAATTTTAGCAATTTAATTATTGTAATTTCGTAATATTGTCTCTAACTATAGAGTTAAGTATCTACTAAATTAAAAAAGCCTCTATAAAGCTCCACAGAGTATAATTATGGCTATATTATAAATTACTTAGTTAATACTATCATGGCCAATCGCAAAAAGTCGAATATATGTTTTATTATATTATAACGAAACATAAATTTGATTTTTTTTAAATGGACCATTATGGTTTTTGAGTAAAGTTTTTGTGTTCTAAAATAAATAAAACTCTTTTAGATCAAACTAATTAAACTTGTTAATCTAATTGTAAAATACGAAAACTTCAGTAAAAGTTCTTAAAAGCCAATCAATCAGATGAATTTTTCTTAATATCGTTGAATGTGCTTTTGTTTGGTGTTCTTCATTGCATCTTTTATCTACTAAACTATTTAATCAATGTACTTCAATAGATTTATATTATTAAAATGCTTCGTATCCATGAAAGTGTTAGAATCATTTATTAATTATTATTTTTACACCAATATCTTTAGTATTACCAACCGATGTTACCAATTTATTGGTAGGGTTGAGTTTATATATACATATATAATGGTGGAATATTCTAATTAGTTCATAGTTCGAAGTACAATTATTAGTTATATTACCATGCAATAGTGTAAAAAAAAACTATTTTTTTTTTTTTTGCATGGTTATTTAAAACTAGAGGGACGGTGTGACCAAGTCGATAACGCGGCAGTGCTTGACGCGCATTGCCTCGGGTTCGAAACTCGATTACGGGCGCCTTCATTTGGCGAGCGACAGATCAATTCGGTAATTAAAGTCGTCATCTCTCTCTACATTACATTTGTAGATAACATTTGTTATTTTGTTATTTGTTATTAATAGTTAATTTAATTTCCGTTATGTATTATAATTGAAAAAAGGTATTAATTAATTTTGATATTTTAATAGTTGATTTTACAGTTCTATTTATCCAAATTTGTATATTTCTATTATTGTTTCAAACAGGCAAATTTTAAATCAATTCCATAATAAAATGGATATATGTTTATAATTGATCTATACATATTTATTATTATAAGTAGTAAAGTGTAGAATTGTTAAGTGCTTACTCACATTCCCCAATCTAGTGTAGTCATTCCCTCCCATTTTTGGTGTGGTGTGTGAGTAACCAAAAGTTCCTTAATATACAGTCCACCCTTTCCTTCACTCGAGAGTATAGGTGTCATGGTAAGCGGTATACTACTTGTCACCCCCGCTCATACAAATACGAAACCAAAATTTAAAAATTTAAAAAATTTTTAACGTCAAAATAAAAAAAACTTATTAAAAAAGTTAAAAAAAAATTCAAATTAAAAGATTAAAAAAGTTCCAAGAACAAAATTATTTGAGAATTTGTTTTTTATCACATTATCCAACTAAAACTGATGGTTCCCGTTAAAGAAAATTAAATATTAGGTTTTTAAACCAGAAGAGATGAAAAAAGAAATTATTTAATTACATATTATTGTAGAGTTTCTGGATTTATATAATATTTCATTTACAAAAATTGAAAATATTCTATAGTTTTTAAAAATGAGTCTGTATATTTAAAAATCATAAATTGAAATTTTACGCGTTTAGACTAAACATTTTAATATATTGTTTTCATGTTAACAGATTTTAAAGTACACATTGAATAATAAATAAAAATAAATTATTCATATACGAGTGAAAAGAAAATATTTTTATCTATTGTAGGAAAATTGCGAATATAAATTTGATAAAATAGGCATTAAATTTTATGAAAGTTATAGATATTGATTATTAGTAATAATTTTTAACATCCATTGAATTATTTATATTGAACAATTTTTTGTCATACAATTGTGGACAATGCAACAATCTTTTTTTTTATTATTATTTGTTTTTTCGTCTTTGACTATTAACATTTTAATATAAATTACATATTATTCAGGCATCATTGTAATCAGCCTAATGTTTCTGTAGCCTTTTGGAGCTTAAAACGTGTAGATCTCTTTTTTCATGTTTTGAGCCAAATTTTTTACATTTATTTAGTGGCCAGTAAGCATTTGATGCGAATTTTTTTAATGAATTATTTTAGGTGCTCCATTTTATTTAGGTCTCGTAACATGGCAGGCGTGTTTAAACACTTCAAGTCATATTTATATTTATTTTTTTATGATTTTATTTTTTATGCTGAGATTTTGGGTTCCTCGACTATTTGCAAACGTGTTCAAATATAGCCGCCTCGATTTTATTTATTAATATTTTGTAGCTTTACTACAACAAATGGTTTATTTATTATAGTATATTGGGTAATATGAATTATTATGACAATGTGATGACGTAATTCATTTTATTATGTGATGTCCCAAGGTCTTGCAACTATGTCCAACTGTCTAAAACCAGTCCCTTACTTGGGGCGTATATCCGCCGTTTTAGAGGTAATTAATTAAGAGAAATTGAATGGATAGTGTTAAAAGAATTGTATACGAATATATGAAAAATACTTTTATGTATTAATAAAAAAATGTAAAAACAAGTTTAAAGATAACTTTTTGTCATACATTTGTAATAATGATTTATTACAAATGAATAAACTATTGTATTCAATATAAAATAACTATAAAAGCCCTTTGACTCAACTAAATACATTAAATTCTTCTAAAGATATTTGTTGCATTTTACACAACATATTTATTCCTTCAATAAATCGTAATGGTAAGTAGAATATTTGACAAACTAAATATTTTATATTTCTAATATTATTATTGATTTTTCAGAAATTATTTTCTTTAGTCTTCTTTTCAACTGTCGCATTTATGATTATTCATAATGGTAATAAATTAATAGTTTTTATTCAAAATATTTCTTTTGTCGTAGCGTAGACCACTTGATCTAATTAAAAAAATTTCTTGTTCATAATAATTATTGGACAAATGTTTCGTCAGTTATTAAGGATATTAAGTAATACCTAGAATTGAGGTACAAGTATTCTTAAATTTAGCACTAGATATATTCAGTCCGCACTATAGCGACCTAGGCTCTCATCTAGGTATAAAAATGTTTATAACATCATAAAAGTCTAAAGGTCTAAACTGGTCTAAAAGTTGTTATGGACTAATTATTTTTTTTAATTAGACAATTTTTAATAAATTAGATAATTATGAAATTATATAGTTAATCTAATTATATTAATTATTATAATATTAACAAAAAAAAAACACATCATAGTAAAATTAATACCTTCTCAGCTTCGCATCGAAGCTAAAAAAATTTTCATGTTGCTACCTGCAACACAAGATTAAAAACAACTTGTTATATATCAAATCAGCAATCGGATTATGTATTTAATGCTTCTTGAAACCATATATTGTTTTTTTGTAATTTAATAACTATTAGTCTTTTTGTGTTTGATTCATTTTATCCTTATAATCATTTTGTATCTAATATTTTATTTATAACTTAAGTTATAATTGTTCAGAATCTTTATGTTATAATTTTATTGTTTAGTATATCATCTATTGATGTTTATTATATTTAATAATATAATAATTTATATTTAATATCTAATTATATAAATTACTTTCGTTCAAATTTACATTGGGTTTTAACCCGTTAAATAAATACATAAAATAAGTATAACACATGATTGAATAAATACTATAGTAAAAAAATTAGTATGAAATTGATATTAAATATTTTAGTATTATAATATTTACAGACGATTTATAAAAAATTATAAAGTTGTTCTTTACAATATGATTACTTTAATATTAGCCACTCGATTACATTTTAAATAAAAGTTATACTAAGAAAATTCTTTTTGGTCTTTTTTATATTTGTTTTTTTGTAAAAGAGGTGTAAATAGGATAATTACCCCCTCACTCCTATGGATATACATCATTTGACTCATAATAAAAAATATTCATACTTCATATGATTAAAGTTCGGAGTATTTCCAAAACAATTTCAAAATATTATAAGATTATAAGTTATTAGATTTTTAAAACATCGTAAACCACTCTATTTTTATGTCAATTGAAAAATTTAGTAATAAAAGAACAACATTTTATAAGGTGTTTCTCTAAAATATATAATATTAAAAATAATAATATAGCGTGTTGTTTTTTTATAAGCAATTAAAGTGTCTTTTTTTACTTTCTTAAGTAAAAAATAGACCAAATTTATATAAAAATTAAAAGATTTTTGCAAAGAGTATAATTAGGATTTAAAAAATTATTTCAATTAAAAAAAAACAAAAGTGTTAATTTAAACTTAACAAGTTAATTATTTTTATTACATTTATACTTTTTTCTAGATCATTACATGTCAATGAGTAAAGCCACGTCAAGTAAGTTGAATATATCACACATTCACTTAAAAGTTAAATAATAAAACAAGCTTTTTATTACTACAAAATTTAAATAGGTATAAAAAATCAATCATAACTATTAAACAAAATTTTCTACTGAATTATTTTTCAAATTTCTTTTTTCATTTAATAACTAAACCACTCTAACAACTTTGTATCACCTAGGTATTTTCATTCGAGAGCTGATCTCAACAACTCTAACCTTTGATTAATTTCCTGCCGATTTTCACCTTTTAACATAATATAGTCATTGAAAAACATTTACCACGGTACCTGTTCTTGTATTTCTTAGTAATTTCATCGATCACTATAGAATATAAATAAAGACTTAAAGCAGAACCTTGATGAACACCTATTATTACTCTTAAGTCTTAAGTCTTCAATCCTCATCCATTATTATCCTTACACCATTCTTGTATTAGTCTTACTTGAACATATTATTTTATAATTATCACCTATTTTACTTGCTTCCTCTGCTATGGACACCAAATATCTGGGCCAATAACTGATTGAAAGTTAGGAGTTAAAGATAATATCTAATTAATATTTAAATAAAATGATTAAAACAATTTAATTCAGTGAAAGTAAAATAGATATCTATTATAATATAAGACAATGTAATGCAACTAACAGAGACTAGACAAAAACAATTTACTTTGAAACCTATTTTATAGAATTATATAAACCTGATCTATAAATAATTTACTGAATAATATAATAAATGATTACATTTCATTTTCATTTCAATAAAATTATTTTGGAAATTCTAGTAATATATACTTTAACAATGCTCAAACAACAAAATCTCCATTGGTATGTTTATATTACTTCCGAAATCATCAAAGTTTTACAATTTTATAAGGAATTATTGTGTCTAGTTGTTTACTAATCTAAATACAAAATAAACCAAATTTATAAAACTTTGTTTTTAAAAGTATAAAGATACATTACAAAGTTATTTAAGTTAAATATTTTTTATACATGTTTATATTTAACTAGATCAGAACGAATCGAAGAACAGAGTCACGTTAAGTAAGTTGAAAGTATCGTTCAATCATTTAAAAATTTAATAATAGAAAAGCTCTCTATAATTACTAAATTTAATTAAGTACAAAAAAACAATCATAACTTTAAAATAAAATTTTTAACTGAATTATGATTCAAAATTTAGTTTTTAATTTAATTTAAAACTCGGCATGTTTTTATTACTTCCGAATTCATCAAAGTTTTGTAATAATCTATAATTTTTTTTATAAACTTACATTCATTTTTAGTTGCCGTTATTTTTCGAAGTTGATTTTTATTAAAATGAAATTGCAATTTTAAAATTAAAAATAAAATTTTGATTAATTCTATTTTTGACGGCTTCCTAATATTAAGATACTTTTTTTTATTTCTTATATTGAACGAACTTCTTTCAGTTTTGCCATGGAATTTTCACTAGATAAATATTAGGTACTTTGGCGTATAGATCATTAAATAACAATTTTCATCTTCGCTTCGAAACTATAAATACAAATTTTCATTTTTTTTTTATAATTAAAAACAAATAAAAAAAATATGACTTTATCGTAGTATATGAATGCATTAAATAAAAAAAAAATGTACTGCAAAATATTTAATAGATCCAATGTTTTTGATTTGTAAAATTTGTAAAACGCAGTCAACTATATATATTATACCATATGAAAAATATAATAATAATAATAAGTTATAATGGAATCAATTTTATGTAGTATATTTTTATAAGCAATTATTATATCTAGTTGTTTACTATACTAAGTACAAAATATACCAAATATATTTAAGAAAATAACAAATTTTATAATAATTAAAAGTGTCAATTGAAACTATATTAGTTTTATTATTTTTACTACATGTGTATATTTTTCTAGATGATTTGTTAATGTTGAGTGATAACACGATAGGTAAGTTGAATCTACTGTACCGTCACTTAACAATATAATAATAAAAAAAAGCTTTGTATTATTACAAAATTTAATTATGAATAAGCCAATCATAACTTAAATCAATCATGTACTTAATTTTTCTACTGAATTATGGTTGTTCGGTGTATTTTTATTACATCCAAATTCATCAAAGTTTTATAAAGACCTATATTTGTTTTATACGTTTTTTATTCTATATCCGATCAAATATGACTAAGAAAGTAATATTGTTCACTCAAAATAGACAACATAGTACTCTGAAACAATTTCGAAATAAACTTGATAATTTTGCACTCCCTATGTAAATACATATATTATATAATATATATTTAATAATATGGGTCACAATAGAAAATGCGCATAACCTAGCTCAGTTAGGACGTAGCATAGTTGGGTCAAGTATAATGATATCTGACAGTGATTAAAATCACTTAAAACAAACACTTCGATGCAAATCTTTAGATAGCGCTTAATTTTAAAAAATTGGTAAATTATTACAAAAGCTACATGATCTGCTATTTCCTTATTTTATCTTCATTTAGATAAAGTATGTCGAATGAAAAATGGATATAAATATTATTTCTCAAAAAAAAATTGTGTTTATCCATAATTCTTCAATAAGTTATAGCATAATAAAGTTAAAAATGTAAAATACAAAATCGAGAATTTTCACACAAAAATAGCATTCGTTAGCCATTTTCACCATAAAGACAAAATAAAAGTCCGACATTTTTTGTTTCATGATAAAGTATATTACATTAGATTTAATTTAAGATATAAATAAAAGTGTCAGACTTTCCGGAACACTTTCAAAAGTTAAGTTGAAAAAGTTGTTCTATTAAATTCCCTCTATGGGCAGGTAAAGAGTCAGATTTAATTTTTTAGGAGATTTCCACCATTTACGGGAAACAACGGAAATCTTTTCAATTTTTGAGGGTAATGTCTTTGACTAGATACCATTTGTGATATTTTGACGTATCGTTGAAAGAAATCGGTTCAGTGAGAGCTAAGAAAAAGTGGTAACAGACACAAAAAAAAACAATTCATATTAAAATCAATACCTTCTCAGCTTCGCATCGAAGCTAATATAAAAGAAATTTTAGCTTCGATGCGAAGCTGAGAAGGTATTAATTTTACTATGATGTGTTTTTTTATTTTTTTTTAAATTTTTAAATTTTTTTTTTTGTGTCTGTGAACGCTCAATCTCAGCTCTCGCTGGACCGATTTTGATGAACAATATGTCAAAAGATCACAAATCGTATCTAGTCGAAGACATTACCCTCAAAAATTGAAAAAAATTCCCTCGTTCCCCGTAAACGGGGGAAATCCCCCAAAAAATTACAAATTTAAAAATCGCTAATTTTCGATATTTTTTCAATTTTTTTTACTTAAAATTGCCATAACTTTTTTAAAAATGATCGAATCAATATAATTTTTTTTTTTATAGATACCTTAGATAATTACCTATCATTTTATATATTTTTGTGAACATTTGACCCTTTAACAGCCCAAAGGATGGGGTTTCAAAATGGTAACTTTTTTACAAAAAATTAACTTTTTCAACTTAACTTTTGAAAATGTTCCGGAAAGACTGACAATTTTATATATACCTTAAATTAAAGCTAATGTAATATACTTTAATTTGAAAAAAAAAAATTTGACCTCTGGACTTGTCTTCATGGTGAAAATGACTACCGTATGCAAAAATATGCTATTTTTGTGAAAAAATTCTTGATATTATATTTTACATTTTTTAACATTATGTTGCTATAACTTTTTAAAAAATGCATGAATCAACTTTATTCTTTAATGATAAATACTTTATATATACTTCTTTCATTCGACATACTTTTTTTTAAAATCGGACCATTTCCCTTTATACAGGGGGGGTGCAAACCTTTTAAAATGCGTATAGAAAGTAGAACTTTTTCAACTTAACTTTTGAAAATGTTCCGGAAAGACTGACACTTTTATATATATCTTAAATTAAAGCTTATGTAATATACTTTAATTTGAAAAAAAAAAATTTGACCTCTGGACTTGTCTTCGTGGTGAAAACGGACATCAAAGTTAAAGAAAAACGTACGATTTCCGTGAAAAAAATCTCGATTTTATATGTTATATTATTTAATTTATATTTTATATAACTTTTGGAAAAATGTATGGATCAATATTATTATTTTTTTATAATAAATATTTATATACTCCTTTCATCTACACGCTTTTTTTGTAAATCGGATCATACCCCTTTAACAAGGGGGGTCAAAACTTTAATCATGCGTATTGTTACTATGATATTTTCAATTTAATTTTTGAAAGTATTCCGGAAATACTGACACTTTTATATATATCTTAAATTAAAGCTTATATAATATACTTTAATTTGAAAAAAAAAAATTTGACCTCTGGACTTGTCTTCGTGGTGAAAACGGACATCAAAGTTAAAGAAAAACGTACGATTTCCGTGAAAAAAATCTCGATTTTATATGTTATATTATTTAATTTATATTTTATATAACTTTTGGAAAAATGTATGGATCAATATTATTATTTTTTTATAATAAATATTTATATACTCCTTTCATCTACACGCTTTTTTTGTAAATCGGATCATACCCCTTTAACAAGGGGGGTCAAAACTTTAATCATGCGTATTGTTACTATGATATTTTCAATTTAATTTTTGAAAGTATTCCGGAAATACTGACACTTTTATATATATCTTAAATTAAAGCTTATATAATATACTTTAATTTAAAAAAAAAAATGTGACCTCTGGATTTGTCTTCACGGTAAAAATGACTACCGTATTCAAAAATTTGCTATTTTTGTGTTAAAATTCTGGGTTTTGTATTTTATTTTATTTTAAAATACCTGACAAGGGGACTACAGATTTTCATAAATATTATATAAATAAAAAATTAATATAGCATAGAAAGTTAAACTTATTTAAATTTGTTTGCTTCTTTTAAGTCGAGAAAAATAACTTTGAAATTTGAACTAGCTTAAATAGCCTATTTTTTCACCCGACGGTAGCGACGTACGGTTGCCGAGTTGGTAAAATTTATGTTTTACACGCTTGGGGTACGAGGTTCCAACCCGCGTATGGCAATGAATTTTTTGCATTTTTTCTTAATTCTTTTTAAGTTAGTATAAATTTTAAACTCGTTTGATTTTTATCACATTTAGATTCAATAACTTCAATAAAGATCAAGGATCCCATCACTTTAGTCGCCCCTTGCAAGAAGAAATTTCTTATTCGTATTAAAATTATTTTACTATATTTTAAGTTTTCGCTTCGATGCAAAGCCGAGAAGATATTTTTTTGTGACTATCATTTATTTTCTCTGCTCTAACTTGACCTACTTTTTTCAACAATACGTCAAATTACTACAATTCGTATCTAGTTGAAGATATTACTCTCAAAAATTGAAAAAAAAATTCTAATTTATCAATTAAACAGTTAGTTATTACATCGTCTCCATAAAGACAATTAAAATCATTAATTTCTAATGTTTTCAAAATATTTATTAACGAATGAAGTTTGATATGATAGGTTTCAACTACAAAATTAAATCATTTTACTTTGTAATTTAATAATTTTATTACTCTGTTTGTGTGTGCTACTATTAGACTATAATATTCAAATTTTTTTCTAACGTGTTGCTATATAAATCATTTCTAAAAAAAATGATTGTTTTTTCTCCTGAATTAACAATTGATTTTTACAAATATAATCAAATTTTATAATAAACTCAATTGAGTAAATCTTTTTAACAACTTTGTTTTGATTGGTACATTTAGTTAAAGTAAATCATTAAAATTAATTAAGTTCTCAATATTTCAATTATAGAATCTTTTCAACAAACAACAAAAGTTCCTAGGAAATTATTACTATTACTTCTATTTAAGTTATCTATTACCATAAAAATGCAAAAAAATATTGAGCTTTTCTGATAAATTTACAATAAATAGTAATTATAAAACTTTCTGACTGCATATTGATCTTAACGATACAATTTTTTTAATTGTCATAAAATTTTCTATTTAATTATGTCAATGTCAAACTTACCAATTGAGCTAAAAGTTATGGTAAAATAAATTTTTTTTTTTTTTTATAAACATTTACAACAATCAACTTTAAACGATTAACAAAATTGGTTAAATATGTCATTTTCCTTATTTTTAACTTATTAATAATCAAATTAATATTAAATATTATATCAAATCAGTATTAATTTAAAACAATTTTTTTTGTTCTTAATTATTTTTTTTTATATGTAAAAACTATTTTTTAATAATATTAAAACTTAGAAGTTATAGAAAAAGTCTAATTGCACATTTTAAAACATCGCGAAAAGTTGATTTAGAATAGTATATTTTTGTTTCTGATGGAAGTTCCTTGTAGTCCAGTGTATAAAACTTATAACTTTGTTAATTGTTATAACTTTATCAAAAATGACCAAATCAGTATATTTTTTTTTATTTAGATGCATGTCTTTATCTATCATTTGGTTTTTTTTATAAATCTAACCCTTTACCTGCCCACAAGAGGGATTCAAAATATTAACTTTTTTTTTTTTAGTTAAAGTAAATCATTAAAATTAATTCAGTTCTGGATATTTCAATAGTAGAATCTTTTTAAATATCAAAAATTACTTAGAAATGATTACTATGATTTCTATTTAAGTGTTCTATTACGATAAAAATGCAAAAAATAATGAGTTTTTCTGATAAATTTACAATAAATAATAATTATAAAACTTTCTGACTGCATATTAATCTTAAAAATAACATTGTTTTAATTCTCATAAAATTTTCTATTTAATGATTCATTCTAGTCAACGAAGGAGTAATTTTGCAGAATAGCAGAAAAAATTCCCAACAAACTTTTTTTTTTTTTGTTTTAATTAGGCAATTGGTGGATTATTCCAAAAGCAACATCAACTCTTATTTCTTTAATTATATCATGATTAGTA